GGGAGGTTGTGGAGTCTCCTTCTCTGGAGATCTTTAAAACCCGCTTGGATGCAGCCCTGTGCCACGTGCTCTGGGTGACCCTGCGTGAGCAGGGGGGTTGGACTAGATGACCTCTGAGGTCCCTTCCAACCTTAAGCATTCTATGATTCTATGACCACAGCCATCTGGGGATCTGAGTRGAGCCCAGCACAAGCTCAGCCTCACCCCAGAGCAGCCCCTGGAGCCAGCAGCTTCCTCGCAGCACCAACCTAACCTGTTTAAGCCCCAGCAACGGGTGCCCACCCTGCCGAAACGCCTCTTCCAGCCTTGCCAGGGCGCTGTGAGAAACTCCCCAGYGTGACAGCAGGACACTTGTCACATCTCTCCAGAGCACCGCTTGATCTCCCTGCCTCTTACAAAAACTGCAGCAGGCAATGTTGTACAACAAGAGCACGCAGACACACAAAATACGGCCAGCTCCTAAATGAATAACGTCTGGGTAATTTTTGGTGCAGCCTCACAGCCCATTGGCTTTCCTACTCCGTAGTTAGTCTGGCTCTGTATTTAATAGTGATATTCATCTGACTGGGAACGGATGCCAGAAAAACACAACAGGACTCTTGACATTTTTTTTCTTATGGTAATTGGCAAGTTCTTATCAGCGTCTCTCTCTGTGAGAACTGCAGCGAGATTAATTAGCAGCCACATTGTCATGCAGGAACCCGCACTGGTAATTAGCCCCAAACCAGAATTGCTGTCTCTTCCAAGCAAACTGCTTGGCATAATATTAATTAATTAAAATAATTGATTGCACTTAAAAGGAAGTACGTGGCACACAGAGCGAGTCACCTATTTGCCAACTTAGAAAAATCTCCCTGTAAAAAAAAAAAAAAAAAAAGACATAAAATAACCACACCGATAATGGCAGCCATGAAAAGAGCCCTGGATTCCTGCAAGCAGAGGGGCAGGGTGGCTGCAGCCTGAGACCGCGGGCCCCAGGCCGTTCCCACAGCCCGGCGCTGCCGCRGCCCYTCTGCGGGAGACGCTTTCTGCCCCRGGAGGAAGATGAGCTGCCTTGCTCCCCACTCGCTCCTTCAGGCCGGTGCCTGCTGGGTTTGTGGAGGGCTTGGGGAAGAGATGCACGCGTCGTCCGTCACAGCAGGGACGCAACGGAGAGCCCTCCAGGGAGGAGGCGGCCAGCACGGAAATGAGGGTGACTGGTAAAATCTAGTCTCTCGAAGCAAACAACAGGGGCTAGAACAGCAAAACCAAAGACAAAAGAAAAAGAAAAAAATAACACCCAAACTGTGTCTTCACAGCAGCAGGAAGAAAGAAATTGTGAAGAGATTCAGAAAGAAGTGTGAACCTCTGACCGTGAAGGTGAAGGAAGGAAGAATGCTCTAATGTAAAGCGTGAGATGGGCTTGTCGCCTCTCTCTTGCTCCTGACAATGTGTGGCAGCTGCTGGCTACTAACCTATGTCTCTTAAAGAAATCTAGCTTTCTTAGCACCTATTCTTTCTGGTGTTGTTTTTTTCCTTTATTGAAAGAAAGAGACAGACTGTCTATTAAAGACAGAGGGGGAGGGTAGGTCTCACCCCACAACATCCAGTTCTGGTACTRCCCTTGTAATTCAATTTATTTTAATAGCTCTGCTTCCTTGCCTGACAGGAATGCATATATACAGCTATATTCAATAAAACGTCCAGATGGCTCTGTTAGCACAGACTCTTTCAGAAGATGCCCTACAATCTGATATTTTACTTATTCTGCAGGCTTCCCTCCAGTAAAGAGATTAGGCAGAGTTCACTGAATCTGATCTTTAGTGCTGGGAGGGAAATGAAAGAAATCGTCACCCTTTAGCTGCCACAGAAATTTCCAGTGWAAAAATTTGCGACAAGGAACAAATACTTTGCTTCAGGCCAAACAAAGCCTGCCTATATGATAGGATGCTAATACGCTAAAGGAAGGTAAGAAAGAGCAGCAGCTTTCCCCCAGCAAGATAAACAAAGATGTGTGACACAAAGCACCAACTTCGGGTTTCACTGAGGCTGCCTCAAGCCCTACTCATGTAGCTTGACCCGTGGCGTGGCAGCACTGCCCTGGCCAGGGCTCTGTACACCCTGCATCGCACAGGGCAACAAGCAGCTCCCACCCCACGGTTAGGCCATTTCCAGTGACCCAGAGCTACTGCTGAGCTACTCAGAGCTGTGCTGTGTGTGAGTGACTGCCTCCCTCACTGACTCCTTAGTGCAACGTTGTGCTACTGCATCTTGCACAGGRCACATTGGACTGTGCCGGTGTGAGCCACTGTGAGCACTTCCACCTCATGAAAAACTTCAGAAAAGGCTCCTTGCTGCTCATGGTGACATGGCCATATGTCAGTGCTTGAGAAATAACACATCTTTCATTAAAGCCGTCAATAACATTCTAAGAGCAGCACAGACTTACTACTCACATCAGTGCTCCATAATGCCCAGTCAGAAGGGAGAAAAAGCTCCCACTCCCATGGTAACAATTTTATGGATCAGAAACAAAGAACCACAGTGCAGGATCAGAAAGCAGTAACAGCATTTCAAAAACCAGAAAGAAATTACAACTCATTAAGCAATACATGGAGCTGGAGAACCTGAAACTTGTGAGAAGGTTTAGGGTTGTCTGAAATAAAATCTATTGATTATCACAACAAATTTTTATATATTTACCGAAATATTTTTCTGAAGTGCCAGAGTGAAAAAAGATTATTTGAGGTTGCATGGAAGTGATTAGATTTTGCACTCAATTGGTTTCTGTAAGGCAAGCAAGCTTTAGCTAAGGAATTTGAGAAATAAAGATTAATTCTTTTTGGAAGAAATCTAAGTATCTGCTCATCCTTGATTTTATTAAATAAAGCTTCAAATTAAAAACAGATATTCACAAAGAGCCTTGGCAGCTGTTTGGTTCAGAAACAGTCCAACAGAAATGAGAAGCAAATACCCTCTGACAGTTGCTTAAAGGGTGAATCCCATGAGTATCATGCCCGTTTCTATGGTCACAGGATCACACTGCTCATCCACTCAGCCACATATTGATGTCATTTACACTGGGATTATTGAGATGAGGATGGTGCTAGAAACACTTTCTACGGAACCAGTTGTAGYTTCCTTACTCATACTGTTGATCTTTTCAGGCCAATCAAGCAGCATGGGCCTGACAAATGCTTTCAACAGCGATTGTATCGCAGTTTGTGCAAATATGAAATGTAAATGGATGGTTAGGGGCTGGAAACAAGCCCTGCTACCAATCCCAGTTAGCCTAAGATCGCTAGTGGCATGCTTCTCATAACAGGGTACCCCACTGGGCTGCATGCAACAAGCTGGTCAAAAAAGGGTTTCCATCAGCCCTGCCTGCAGCCCATGCTGACACCAGCACCTGCCTTTCCCACAAAAACTGAATGGAGGACAGCCCATGTGTGGAGGGAGAGGGCAAATTGCTTCTGTGACGACTCTGGCGTGAAGGGACACCACCTCCTCCCTGAAGATGAAGACTGCTTTGTGCCTGAGCTCACGTAATTTCAAGCATCTATTATTTCACAGAAAGCGCTTTAAAGCTTCACTCGCGATCCAGGGGCCGTGAGGGCAGAGCCAGGCCGACGGTCAGGCCGGAGGGCAGTGGTGGGGGGGCTCTGCGTGCAGGGCCRCCCAGCGAAACCTCCCACTCGCCGTGAGCGACGGCCCCGCGGCGGGAAGGGCCCGCGCTCGGCCCGCCGAGATCGCAGCCACGCACGCAGCCCCCGGCACCCTTCTGGACTCCTGCGCACACGGAGGTGAAAACACCTTTGAAATGAACCATAAAAGAGGCATTTCAAGAGTTATTTCTTCTCCTCTGACATGTCTTTAATAGAGAAATACGATCACAGAGGAAAAGGCATTTTTCTAACTGGTCAGTTAAGATGTGGTACAGATGGAAGCATAGGGGAGGAAAGGAAGAGAGGAGGGATTTTACACTCAGCTTCCAAATATCTAACCATTGATGATGTACKTATGGGCAAGTTAAGCACTCATTTACATTTAACTCATCAGAAGAAACTACCTCCTTTGCAAAAACACAAGTACTAAGTGGCCTGAGGCACACGGCAAAGATCTTCAGCCCTGAGCAAGGGGTCAGCTGGAACACAGCTTGGGGAAGCCGGGACAGAACTGGCTATGCTGCAAGACAGCACTGCAGCATGTCAGCTAACAATCCTTAAATTTTAGATAGGTTCA